AATTTCTAGGAGAGAGAGAGAGAGAGAAAACAATTTCTTATTACCACATTTCTTATTATTATCAATATTGAAAACAGTTGTGCTGCTCAATATTTTTGGGGAAACCAAAGTTTAAATGAACAGCATTTATTTGAAATAGAAATATTTGTAACATTATAAATGTGTTAACTGTCAATGCATTCTTGCTGAAAAAAAATTATTTCTTTCAAATACAAAAATCTTAACATACTGAAATAAAAAAAAATATATAAAATATGCACAAATATAAAATGTATTTTTATATTTATATATAAAATATATACAAATAAATTCAATAAATAATGGCATTAAATAAATACAATCAACGGTTAAGGCTGTGTGTGTGTGTGTGTGTGTGTGTGTGATCTGTCAGTCACATCCAAATGAGTGTGTTTATCAGCGCTAGAGACACATCACTCTCATGAGACAAAAAGCAATACTGCAGAAAAAAACTATGCTGAGTCCAATAACAATATGCAATTAGTTATTGCAAACCAAAACAGCTTTGTTTTGAAAAAAATAAGATTTTTGAGGCAATGATTGCTATTGTTCAGATTTTTCATATTTTTAAATTACTGCCATGAAAAAAAAAAAGAAGAAGAATTAAAATGATTGGTCCCTCTAACTTTTATTGCTATGGCAACACCGCAGGCCAAAGCCCATCAAGAGCGCTGAGGAGAATTCCTCAACCACACAAATACTCGACCGTGTGAAAACTGCTGCCAGTCAGATGAAAAATAATAACAGACCATATGCATCAAAACTAATCCAAAGATGAGCCTTATTCTATTCATATGACAATGTGCCTTATTTCTTTTTAATTAATACAAAATAATTTTATGTCAATTTGTTGATGTCTGAGCAAGTATTTGGGTGTATTTTAGACCTCAGACATTCCTCTGAGGCTTAAAATAATCAACATCATAAGCAAGATCTAATAAAGTAAATATTACTCCTCCAAAGCGACTGCTTTAATTCCTAATGAATTATTCACTGTCCTTGCAGCTATATGCTCTGAAAGAGACGACGACAGCATCCAGCAGTTCAGAAACCCTTCATTTCACATTCAGACCAGCAGAACTGTCTCTACCTCAGGTTCAGCCCAGATCTGATCCATTTCCGGCAGTCCGGGGCAGATCGGGACAAAGATGTGAGGGGAGAGAGAGACTGACAGACAGGGTAAGAGGGCTGTGACACTAGATTGGGCGGTGATTGTGTTGTGCCGTACGCTCTGCGCTGTCTTTTTTATGCCAGCATCAGTATTCAGCACACAACCTACTAAACACAGCAAATGGGGCTTCAGAAGACTGACAGGACTGAGTCTGCCGCCACACGGAGCTCAATTACCCTCAGAACGAGGCGTCGTCTCCAGAGTCTTCTTCACCGACACGCTCTCTCAGTCTCCTTCGCTTCATTTGTGTCCTTTCCCACATCCTTTTTGGTTCACTTTTTTCCTATTTCTAAAACATATTATATTCTTTGACTTAATGATTTAATACCTTTTAAAACGTGTATAATGAGGACGTAACAGTCACACCAACCTTATATATATTGCTATAAATAGATAATTGTATAAATAATTTAATAATTGTAAAAATAAATGGTTTAATGAAAAATATTTACATTATTCAAATATATATATTTCCTTTTTTTTTTATGGTAACCCAGAATTTTTACATGACTACTTTCCCCTCTTTTTTTCACTACCTTTTGGAACCTTTAAAACCTCTATATGTAAATTACCTATGTTATGAATTTGCTAATAATACAGTATATTTATTTCCTCGTGGTTCTGACATCATATCAGGATTAACCAGCAACATACAGTAGTCTCAGAAAATCTCTATTTCCATTATCTCCTTTTAAGCAAAACCTTAATATTCAGAGTTCAGTGGTGTCAGATGATTGTCTAATGATTCATGGTTGTGCTTAATGAATATTAATATGCAGTAACCTTTGGCATGGGGAGAGGAACAACACATTGTATTTGGAGGCGTACAGGTGTCGTGCTGAGCTGACAGCCACTCACAGAATAAGGAACAAGCTCCTCTCAGCATGAGCACAAGCCATTAGCACTCGCTGCTTATCAATCTCCAGACCAAACTAGAACCTGTGCATCTGCAGTATTGATCCAAAACATGGCTTTTCGGGAAACAGGATGGTGCCCCTTTAGGACAAAACAGCTAGAAACATAATTAATATTCAAACATTTCAAATTTGAATGTGCAGAAACGAACTTGATTTGTTTTGCTAGTCACTACAAGTGGTGTTTGACTTTATACTGACACCTGCATCTGCATAAATGGAGCATCAGTGTCATTGTATAAATGCAGTAACTAATGAAAGTGAGCAAGTACTACAAAAATCTGAAAATAAAAATATTTTATGAAAATATATAAATATAAATGTGTGTGTCTGCACACACACACACACATACTACTGTTAACATTTTTATTTTATTCTGATTTCCGAAGGATAATGTGACACTGATGACTGGAGTAATTATGTTGAAAATTCAGCTTTGCATCACAGGAATGAATTACATTTGAACATATTCAAGTAGAAACCCATTAATAATAGTTAAAACAGATAATGTCTGATTACAACTGACTAAATAATTGTAATTTGATTTGATATTAATAATTTTATTAATAACTTTATTATTATTATCATTGTTATTATTATACAATGTATCTGTGAGAACTTGATCAACATCATAATTGTGCGTTCTGTTTAGCAGCTATTAAGTTGCTAGGCAGGATTTGTGTTGTGGAAACCCAAGGTCTGGTTGCTAACATAGTCAGAACTGTCACTTCATCCAGCCGTTCATTCAGCTGTTTAATATTCCTGTCAAGAGCTCTGAACCGTCCAACCTCATGCAGAACTCAGAGAAACCACCGAATGAACCTGCGGGTGCACAGGTAACCTGCCAGCAGATACAGCCGCTCTGATGTCCTTTACTACTGACTATATTGTTGAAATGGCCTGATTTTCAGCTATCGCTACTGCCTTTTGTTATTAAACATGTTTGATTGTCTCTCAGATGGAAAGGGATTCCTATGATTTGCCGTCACATGACGCTCTCTCAAAGATACTGCCAGTGTATCTTCACCTCCTCAAAAAGCCTAAAACTCAGACCAGGACAGAATCTGTATCACAGAAAAAGTCTCAGCTCAACCGAACATTTGATGTTCATTCACCTCTCAAAAGGTAAATGAGTATCACATGATGTTTACTACACTCATCAACAGTTTTTGGCTTTGATTCGAACCTATAATTACTTTTATTTGTTGTTGTAAATAATTACTTTTCAGTCCACCAATACCTGATTTTGAAGATGACCCTCATGCAGGTGAAGTCACTGAACATCAAACTAAAGTGAGTAACAAAACTGTAGATTTCTATTATGTCTGTTACTGCTAGAAGTTTCCCAGAAGTTCTGCGTTTCCTCAAAAAGACTTTCATTCTTCAGAACCAGACTTTTGGCTACTGGCATAAAATCTGGTTCACTCTCCATCTTAAAAGAATAGTTCACCTAAAAGTGAAAATGTATTCACCCTCAGGCCATCCAAGATGTAGATGAGTTTGTTTCTTCATCAGAACAGATTTGGAGAAATGTAGCATTCCATCACTTGCTCACCAGTGGATCCTCTGCAGTGAATGGGTGCCGTCTGAATGAGAGTCCAAACAGCTGATAAAAACATCACAATAATCCTCAAGTAATCCACACCACTCCAGTCCATCAGCTAATGTCTTGTGAAGTGAACAACTGCATGTAAGAAAACAAAGCCATCATTAAGATGTTTTTAACTTCAAACAGTCACTTCTGGCCAAAATATGGCAGATTTGTTTAGAACTGTTTTGGACTGTTTTCACCTGTAAACAGTGCTTGATATGTGCATAGTTCTCTCCTGATTCAGACAAGATTACTTTTTCGCCAGAGAAAGCAATATTATGGATAGAGGACTCATTTTTAACCAGAAGCAATGGTTTGAAGTTAAAAACGTCTTAATAATGAATTTGTTTGTTACAAACACACAGCTTTTCGCTTCACACGACATTAATTGTTGGACTGGAGTGGTGTGGATTACTTGTGGATTATTGTGATGTTTTTATCAGCTTTTTGTTGCTGCCGTGTGTTTTGAGTTTGAGTTTTGAGCTCCGTCAAGTTAATTCTTTGTCGTCTAATTTTTTATTCTTATTTTGATGGCACCCATTCACTGCAGAGGATCCACTGGTGAGCAAGAAATGGAATGCTACATTTCTCCAAATCTTTTCAGACAAAGAAACAAACTCATCTACATCTTGGATGTCCAGAGGGGGAGTTCATTTTCAGAAAATTTTCATTTTTGAGTGAACTATTCCTTTTAGCCCAAAGTATCCTTCACTTTTGACGTGAACACAGCGAATGCGTAAAGCTATATGCATAGCCCTTCAACGTATAATCCATTCAATAGCATGCACAGACACATGTGCTCGACACATGAGCATTAGAAAGATTCTTGTTCAGAGTTTGCGCTGTTTCTCTCCAGAAGTCATGAGCGATAAAAATGTCTTTGTACTCATTTAAATTAGAGAATAACAAGAATCTCTTAACTGATTCACACAAGCACTCGTCAACGCGGGCGTCTATTGTTGTTGCATCTCCTGTAGTTTTTGTTGTTCTATCTCTTTTGTTGCTATTTTGACTGCAAAACAGTAGGCCACTAACTAATTAGTGCAAGGCACGTATGTGAGCTGAGAGTAAAGAGTATGCGCACTTAGAAAAACCGGGCTGCGCATGTACTGTGCTGCTGCTGATATTTATGTCATATCCTAGCGTACACATAAAAAGTATACTTTATTCTGTTGTTATTCTTTATGAATTTTCACACAACAGAAATTCAAATTAAATCCCTGAGGACCATCTCAAGATGACCTTTATATATCTGCAGTGTTCATCCTACAGTATGAACGTTTGATGAAATGGAAGGACTATATTGGCTTTTCTTTTCTCATCATGACTGAATCATCGCAAAGCATCCCGCAGAGAAACAAAGAGAGAGAGGCAGGCCGGCCCATATGTGCTTTTATAATGTGATTGTTCAGAGCAACAATACAGACTACGGAGGGTCTGTGGGGACCAATCTCTCTCTCCATTCACTCTTTCATTGGGTTGAGTTGATTCCCTCCATCTCGTCCCCTCCGCGGGCCCCATCTCATCACCGATCATCATTCTCACCTTGCATGGTCTGCCCTTTCAATTAAGCGCTCAATTTCTTTCAGACGACCCCAGGGAGCCACAAGCACACTGGCCCAGATTGGAATCGCCTGATCGGTCCCTCTCCCGCCCCTCCCGTTTCTGCACACCCGACCCCCCACGTGTCTCTCCGACGGACCCCCTTCCTGCACACAGTGACCCTGAGTGAAAAGCAGACGCCTCGTGGCATGTTACATGACGTGCGACATACGACTATCACAATAGCACACAAGGATGCCTGGAAGTGCGGCACATCCCACAATGCACCTGGTCTGCTGTCTGTTTAGGACAATGCTAATGTCTCAATGCAATTGTTCAGTGCTATAGAATGAACTATTCTAAATAAATACATGTCGACAAATTTAGATATGCCAAAATGACCCATTCATCCTAATTGTGAGTACCCTTGTGAAAAAAAGTACACTTAGCATACTTTTAAAAAGAGTACTTATTATGGAATTAATATACTTAAAGTGTGAACTGAATGTAATGTTTTCAGGCACTTAATTGCATGTTAATTGAAATGGCATAACATGTATTAGAGTTCAAATTTATATTAAATGCAATTAGTTGAACTTAAGAGTGTTTTTTATATACTTAGGTTGAACTTAAGTACATCTTTACTTTATTGTCTTAGAAATATTGTTTATATACATTTATAGTAAATTAAAATATTCTTTCATGTCATTTCTGTTTAAACGTGTATGTCATGTATTTATTATAAAACTAAAATTTTAAATGATAATCAGTGTGCTTTAGTATGTTAGTAAACCAATCAAATTAAGTTTACTTCTTTAAAGCACAATAAAAATAAGTAAAACTTTTGCTTTGACATTTACAGGGTGCACTTTTTAAAAGTGTACTTAAGTGTGTTAGGAAATATACTTAAGCGTGTCATGAAAGTGTGTCTCTTTAAGTAGCCTACACTTAAGTAGTCTTTTATTTAATTTATATTATATTATATGCAAGTACGATCTTTTTAAAATATACTTTTAAGATTTGAAGTACTCTACAAGTACACATTCAATACAATTATTATTATTTTTCGCAAGGGTATATGACTGTGACTACGATTTTAGCTCTATCTAGCTTTATTTTAGGTGATACTGCCTGCCTGCACATTTTGTCCAGCAGTTTCAGAAAAGGGATTCTGGGGGGAAAAATACCTTTCACTTGATGGATTTCATCCTAATCCTATCTATATCCTCTGTGTACCACTTGGGTTTCAGTATCTGCCAGAAACTACAGTCCCAGGATTGATTACTTTGTACTAGCGCTATAGTGAAGCCTTTGCAGCCTGACTGATAGTGGGACAGCGGCTGTTTTAACCCAACCACTCTTTAAAGTGACAGTTTTAGGCTATTTGTCTTGCCTTTTAAAATGAGTAAATGGTTTAAGCAAAGCATTCAAATGAATGTTAATTAGGCAGATAGTCGAGTTCAGACAAATGTCGCATCCAAACAGACTGATGTTAATCCTGTTTTGGCGAGGTGAAGCCCTCAGCATCTCGACTGAACATGTGACTTTGATTCCATCTAGTGGCGGCAAACTGCAGGGTAGCGCCATATTTACATTTTTTTGCTGTGAGGGACTGAAGTACAGAGCATTCAGTGGATTGCACTGTTGTTTCAACATACCGATTGTTCAGCCTACAAAATGTCTTACAAAAAAAAAGAGAATTACTTGAGGACCTGTAAGTCTATTCCTCACAGCCTCGGTTTCATCCGCGATAAATTCAGTAGGCTATAGCGTCTAATCTGATTGAGGTATAATGGTCAAACGAATGCAGGATCTTTAAACTTGTTGATGGTGACCCCCAAATACGATGCTTACCTTGTGATGATGAACACCCTTACCAAAATATAAAGGCAGCTATATTTCATGTAGACAAATCCATTTATACTCCTCCTGCTGGGGAGGGCCACAAGTGGTGTTAGGGAGTCTGCAAAAAAAAGAAGAAAAAACCCCCGCTAAAACCAGTCTAAACTGGTTGGCTGGTTTTAGCTGGTGTCATAGCTGGTTTAGCAGGTTGCTTTAGAGGAGATTTGACCACTTCTTTAGCTGCGAGACCAGCTTAAACCATTTTCTTGTGCGAGAAAGGTATTACATTTTAATTAGACAACAAAATTAAATAACTGTTTCCAAAATGAAATAACTGGCTTTTAAATTGTCATTGTACTAAATTGTTAAAATATGAAGGGGGAAAAATGTCATTTTTATTAAATTTATTAATTAAAAGAATAAATATTAGCAAAATCTGGGGAATCTTTACCTTTGAGAGCCTTAAAATAATGCTTGTTTTGTTTTATTATTATTATTATATTTATTTATGTAATTTTTATTTATTTTATATATATATATATATATATATATATATTACAGACCCCTAGCACCACTTCTGGCCCTTAATTAATGAATCTTGAGTATTAAAGCTTTCAAACGTTGTCAATATGAATTAATAATTGATGATTAAAAAAATCTGTTGCTCTAATCTCAATAAAATCAATGTTAAGATAAACAGCAAATTACATGAAAGAACCATATTTGCAGGTCATGTGTTTACAAATCCATTTTTATTTCTCCTGCAGGAGCTGGAAAACTATCGCATGGTGATGCATAAGATGGCAGATGACATCGTGGCGCTGCGCTCTCAGGTGAGCACGCTGGAGTCTGAGAACAGTCAGCTGCGGCGGGACCTGTCCCTGAATCAGGACCTCACCCTGCTGGACGACACCGACACTGACGTCATGACCAAGACCAAGATTGCTGACTGGATCGGTATAATTCCTCCCTCTATAATCTCATTTAAGCATAAAGATTAGTCAAGGCATTGTTCTAATGCGTATACACCTCAGCAGTTAACCTTAGCTGATCACCAGCCACAGACAATGCTGCCATTTCTTCAGCCCTTTTAGTTACCACCAACAATATTAACTAGCTGGTAACCAGTCAACATTTTTGGCATAATCATCCCAGTTTTCTTGCATAATATTATCATTCTGCCATAATTTATTAGATTTTTAAATTTTCAGAACTTGCCGCCACAATGGTAGGAAGTGACACAAAAAAAAAAGTTCTAAGTGATTTTTAGCAAATAATTTGAGGTATTATTCATGGCTGTAACAAAACTAACAAATTATGCTCTGAAGATTAGTACTTAGGCCTAATGGTCAGTATTATTAATAGTTATTGCTTAGCAAAAGTTGTTCATAGTGGGTTTTAGCACATGATTTGAGGTATCGTGTAGCACAAACAAACAAATTACGCTCTGAAAATGAATGCTAATGTTAAATATTACCAATAGTTAGCTTACTTAGCAAACTTAGCTAAGGTATTAATGGTTTTTAGTGTGTTAGTTGAGGTAGATCATGTCTGCAGCATGAACATACAAATTACTCACTGAAGATTAATACTTAACCGTAAATATTAGCAGTAGTTAGCTTACTGAGCAAACTCTGCTAACATGTTCTGGTTTTTAGCACATGATTTTAGGTATCATTCATGTCCATAGCACAAACTAACAAATTAGTTCTAAAAATGAATACTTAATGTACATATTAGCAAATATTTAGTTCTGAGTGGGTTTTAGTGCTTTATTTAGGTATCATGTCTGTAGGCCTATGCTCTGATTAGTACTCGACTGTAGTATTAGCAATAGCCAGCGTACTTCGTAATCAGCACTAACATGTTTAGAGTGGTTTTTACTAACGCTTAATTTTAGGTATTATTCATGGCCTTAGGATGAACAAACAAATTACACTCTAAACATTAATACTCAATGGTAAATATTAGCAACAGTTAGTTTGTTTAGCAGACATCACTAAGGTGTTACGAAAAATCTTTAGCGCTTGATTTTAAGTATCATGCATGTCTATAGCACAAACTAACAAATTACGCTCTGAAGATTAATATTTTATAGAAAGTATTGGGGTGAATTCAGGTAAAGTGGGCCATTTAAGTTTGATTGTACTGAGCTCAATGGATCTACACTTTCAGAGCATAACAATGGTTCTTAATTAAAGGGACACTATTTCTCTAAATGATAAAATAGCTTGTGTTGATGCAATATGACACTGGTGGGTGTGGCCATACCTTAAAGGAAAACCCTTCAACATAAGATTTTCATTTCTAAATTATAAGGTTGCTCACTAAATGGAAACAAATATTACTGGGACAGTTCCTGCTTTGTTTGTTACTACAGTTAACAGGGAATATAATGCAAAGAACGCCATTTTTTTAAATTGCTAATTTTCTTGTAAGGTGTTTAAATATTGCTGGCCCACTTTGGCTGAATGTGTTAGATAAAGTGGGCCAGTGGGATTCAGGTAAAGTAGGCCGACCTTTAACCTTCAGTAATTATACTCAAATTCATTAAATAAATTAACATTCACTAGTTATTTTACAGTTGACATGTATAATTAACTTTTTTTAGAAAACAGAAATGAGAGTGCAGTCAGGAAATTCAAGTCAGAGATGGAAGACAGGAAAGAGAGAATGGAAAGGAAGTCGAGGCACGAAGTTCAATCTGTGGAGTGAAGAAAGGATGAGAGGAGCAAAATGTAGATGCAGAATATAAAGCTTAAAATATGAACACAATTAAAGTTCATTTAAAGTGTTTAGAGAGCATAGACAGAAAAACATTTTTACATACACTCTAAAAAATGCTGGGTTAAAAAGGGACAAACCCAGCTATTGGATTGTTTTGTCCCAACGGCCAATAGCTGGGTTTGTCCCTTTTTAACCCAGCATTTTTTAGAGTGTATGCTTACCATTTTAAATTTTTTTTTTTTTAGTTACATTTTTGTTGTTGCTTGTGTTATAGTCACATTTTTAATATAGTGTAGAGTTCATTTTTATCAATATTCTGATTTCTGAATATTCTGATATTCAGATTTCATCCAATTTAATGTCAACATAACATGTTCTTTCAGTTGTTTGGAATTTCACACATGAATTGAGACGAGGATTTACACGTTATTTATTTTACTCATAACCTATAGGTTATATAATTTTGGGTTTGTTAAATATGTTTGTCTGATAATATGTGTTAAAATATTATGTGTTTTTAATTAAGATGCAGAATAATTTTTGATAAATAAAGAATGGCCCACTTACCTGAGAAGAAATTTGTCTGGAGTGCATGATCTCAAAATGTTTATTGGTATATAGCTTGCAAATAACTCTTTATATGAACTGTATTCGAATTGAAATATTATAGCTGGACCTTAAAGTATGTATTAGCAATAGTTAGCTTGCTTGGCTAACACCACTGTTTCTCATACTGATATTATGGAGAGATGACGTACATTTGTACATGAAGAAAGAATTAAAGGCCATCAGACAAAAGTTTTGCTCACTTTAGGAAGTGACTATTGGAGTATCACATTTCAGATGTTAAAAGTTGTGAGCGTGACGTGATTTGCACAGGTGTCATGTCCTCACGGAGCCGTGCTGAGGACTGATAAGACTTCTCATTTAGCTAAGGGAATCTGATAGGCACTTACTGCCTTATCTGCTGAAGGACAGTTTGCGTCCCTCATACACACACAAACACAAGGCTCCGCTTAAAGGACACGTCAAAGACCTTTGAGGCCTTCAAGGCAAATGCCGGCCTTAATTTCCTCTCTATGGCGAATGCACTGCGTGGCTTTCAGGGGTTTAGATAATGTCTGGAATGTTTTCTCCAAAAATATCTCCACAGTGTCATAGTCACACCATTTGTTGATGTTTTTGCAGTCCTCAGAAAGCTTATAAAAAAAGACTGACTTTTAGCTGAGCTCAGAATCCATCATTCATCTATTAATATATTTTATGATTATATTTATTAATATATTTCAATAGTTAGATTTTAAGTAAGGGATAATGCACAACTAGCTGTGCATTAAACAATTGGTAACACTTTACAATAAGGTTCATTAGTTAACTACTTTAGTTAACATGAACTAAGAATGAACAATACTTCTACAGCATTTATTAATCTTAGTTAATGTTAATTTCAACATTTACTAATGCATTATTAAAATCAAAAGTTGTGCTTGGTAACATTAGTTAATGCAGAGTGAATTAACATGAACTAACAGTGAATAACTGTATATTCGTGAACTAACATTAACAAAGATGAATAAATACTGTAATAAATGTATTGTTCATTGTTTGTTCATGTTAGTTAATATATTAACATTAACTAATGGAACCTTTTTGTAAAGTGTTACCATACAAGGTAACACTTTATTTTAAGGTGTCCTTGTTACACATGTTACATGTACTTACTATTATAATAACAATTAATTATGCATAATTACATGCAAGTAACCCTAAGGTGTATGTGTGTGTGTGTGTGTTTTCTGGTTCAGTAAGCACTCATTAATTTATGGCACTTTTTTTTTGCAGCCTCTCTGAAGTTCAAGCTGTCCAGTGAAAGCAGCAAAGCAGCTGCCCAGAAGGACAGAATCCAACATCTTCAAAATGAGCTCATCAGGGTGGGTCAGTCAATGCCACTTTCCCTCGGATCATTTAAAGTTTTTAATAAAAGCAGCAGCAGTGCTCAGAGACTGTGTTTCCTCTTTGAAACTCATGGGGTCCATTGACTGGCATACAGTTGTGATGTTTGCTGGCAGTAAGGAAATGCTGTATCAAATGCATTAATGGTTTCCTCCCAAGATCATTGATTGTATCAGCTCATTCAATTTGTCTCCAGACCGCATGGCATATTGCTTGATGCATTTGATACAAATCTAAAAAATACACAAGGCAAGCAGAAGTCCTAATAGACCCCTGGCAATTGAGTTAACCCACTGCATGAACTCATTAGGTTTTAGCTCTTTATTTTGATTATTGCAGAAGAGCGACATTGAGAAAGAGTTTGTCCAGCTGCAAAGAGCACATCAACAGCAGCAAGCTGTGCTAAAGAAATATCAGGCCCGTAGTGGTAAAATATCTGCACTGGAGGATACAGTTCGCCAACAGGAAAAGGTATTTGGCTGTTCTGTACAACATGCTGTTTTATTTTTATTTTATTTGATCAAACTACCAAACAATCAAGCTAAATACACTTCTCGGTTTGTTTGAGCGTCCCGATCAGAGCAACCAATTTCACGAGTTTGGGACAAAAGAATAATTCACCAAAAAAAAAAAAAAATCTGTCATAACTTCTCATTGCAATGTAATTCAGTGGTGTTATTTTAGTATAATTTATATCCTATTAAAATATTTTTTAATATTTTAAGTTTTAATTTTAGTTTTAGTAATTTTGTTATGTACTTCTGTCATTTTTATTAGTTTTTAATATTTCTGTAACTTGAACTTCTAACTTGTAACTTAAACTTTAGTTAGTGTAGTTAGTTGCCAAGGAAACATTTCTTATATATTTATTATATATTTTCCATCTAATATTTCTATTTTATTTATGTTTATTTATTTATTTTATTTGTTATATTTAGTTTACAACACTCCATTCCCAAAAAAAGATGGCATTATACTTAAAAAAAAAAACACACATTAGATATATGTATTATAAAACAAAGTAGATATTTTGAAGAACGTCTCAGCTGCTTTTCTTCATAGAATGAAAGTCAATGGGGTCCAAAACTTTCAAACTCTTAAAAAGGAACAAAACAAACATATAGATAGCGTGAAACTAATCATGCAACCAGAGGCGGACAAAGTACTCAACTCCATTACTTGAGTGAAAGTACAGATACTGCTGGTCAAATATTACTCCATTACAAGTAAAAGTTGATACTTAGCAACTTAGAATACATTACATACACCGAATACAGTACAGTGAAATCCTGTAAATACAGAGTGATAAGGAGAAAGAAAAAAAAATCAAACCTGCTTTAAAACCCAGCAACACAACTGTAGCTGTAGCCTATAACTTTACAACAGCAATACTGCTTTAACAAAAAAGCAAAACAGCAAGACTTATTTGAATGGTCTGCAGTGCTGCTTCAAGTCCAACACCTTTTGTGTTTTATTAGGAGACGCACAACAGTTCTTCTGTGGCTTTATAGGTAATATTTTCACTTACACAATTTAGCAAAATCAGACAATATTGTGTCTAATATATACCACAATATTAACTTCTTATTATTGAATTGTTGTAAATAAATACCACATTTGCAACTGGTCAGTGCTCAAAAATGCTGGGAAATCACTTCATGTAGCCCTACAAGAGTGATTACTGATAAACTGTCTGAAAAAAGAAAGTCATGTTACTCAAGTAAATGTACTTAGTTACTGTCCGCCTCTGCATGCAACTCAAGTGGTTTATTTCATGCCCTCTGAAGCTATATGACAGCTTTCAGTGAAAAAAAAATACATTTAATACAAATTAATTATTATTCATTAAATATATTTACTTCTACTTTGCTCACTTATGTGGTTCCTTTCTCAGACAGCGAGAAGCTGGAGTTATTGACACAGCTAGCGAGAGCTGGGGGTCGAATCCGGACACTGGAACAACAGGTTTGATCTTTAATGCTGTCAGAAGACATTTCACTTCCATACATAGTGTAAATTATGGAATGGGCTGTGGTGCAGTGGTTGGTGCAAGAGCTCTTGACACATTGAGTTGTGGTGCTCGTGTCGGTGATCATGTTTGTGCTTTCTTTCCCCAATCATTTCTGTATCACTTCATAAATGCTGAAATCTACACAATCAGCAGCTCCCTTTTAAAGCAAATTCAAGTAAAGTTATCATATTGTTCCAGTGTAGCCACAGAATGTATGTTTTTGTTAACACAAATATTGGAATAAGACATTCCACTCAACACAAGAAATTGTAATAAACGTTTTTGATGCACCTTTGATTCAGCTGAAAGAGAACTCCAGACAGTGGGGGAAAGAAAAACAAGAGATGTTGACCAGACTCAGTGAATATGAACATAGATTCGCTCGAACATCAACCATGATTCTTCATGATCTACCTGTGGTATGTATGATTGCTTTGTGTATTTAAACTTAGTAGTAGTTTGACCTAGGAAATGTATATCTATTTCAGTTATGGAACTCTAGTTGGTTGAGGCTTTCAAGTTATACAGGGATTTCCAGCCTCAATGTCTGCCCAAACTTGAAAAAGGCTTCAGTGAACTTTAGAGGGCGCATGGAATAACTCAAAAGATCTGATATTTGATCACCGAAGCCATTTACTGAAGATCTTCCACAAAACAAGTTGATCTTCTTAATTCATTTGCTTAAATTCAGTGCTTAATTCAGAGGTTTAGCTTAATAACCAATGCAGAAAAACACAAATCATACAAAAATATAATTATATGAGTTAGCACACACAGTTTTTAAGTCAAGTCAAGTCAAGTCAAGTCTGCTTTATTGTCAATTCTTCCACATGTACAGCACATACACACAGAGAATTGAAATTGCGTTACTCTCCTTCTTAGTTTGCGGAGGAAGTAGAGACGCTGCTGTGCTTTTAGATCAATAAATACATCTGAGGATATTTTAACTCATTTAAACTACAAGCAACATTGCTACAATACTCACCGTTTAAATAGCAGAGTATTTTTCACATAGCAGTTCAATAACAATATTGAATCAAATGCGCTTAGTGCACATGGCTAATTAGCATATGAACGCTAAAACTGCTAGTGATAACAAACAATGTTCTCAAGCAACAGTCTATAGTCTTTCAAGAAAATGAGTCTTTATTCTACCAGTAGCGTCTCATAAAGTTGATGAACACATTGTGGCTTTTCCCAGTTGGCCTCCAACAAATTCCACATGAGGTTTCAGCTTCTTTACTCCTCCCACGTTGCACTGTGTTCACAACCATTAGTTTTGCTTCTTTTGATCTCAGAGCTAAATTCATTTTATCGGGTAGATTTGTGTTATATAGATTTTTTCTTGTAATTCCAAATTTGTCTCAACAGGGGCTGATATGTCCCTGCAATCTGCCAGCAATCACATCTTTTAATACATGGCACAAGCTGATTGGTCTGATTGGCTGATTCTGCAGCCAATGAGCTTGCTTTCTTAACATTTAAATAATCTGTTTTTCACTGTAAGCTGGTCCTGCAGCGGTATCAGAGTTTATCTGAAACCCTCCACCTCCCCCAGCACCACCTGTCTAGTGGATTTATATATGCCTATTCATAGCAGCATATCTTACTTGCTAACAGCAGCATGTCTGTGTATCTATAAGCAGTAGCAAGTCCATACTTGCATGTGTAGCAGGTCTAGTCAGGTAAGACCAAATAAATTCACATTGTCACATCCATTAACATGCTATAACTATTCTGAGAGTTGTCATGATTGAACTATACTATACTAATGGTATCATCTATTGAAGAAGTCATCCTTTTTTATTTCATGACAGAAAAGTTTGACTGATTCTGTACTTGGACATACTCTACACAGGCAACTGGAACCTCTGAAGTGACCACATCTCATCCGTGTTAGTATTTTAACAATTACGGTGGAAAATATATGTATTTTTGTGTGTTTTTTTTTGTTTTGTTTTGTTTTTTTACATAAGAAAAATTATAACATTTATAGTAAGGGTGTAACGATTCACTCGTTTTCTCGATGCATCGATTACAAACCCTGACGATGCAATGCACTGATCTTGAAACATGGATTTTTGAATCGTGAATTGTCGATTTCGGACAGTAATCGATTTAAAACGCTAAGAATCGAATGAATCGTAATTTCTAT